CTATATCCTTCTCCTTGAGCTCGCCAGACGTTCCCAAGTCCTGCATAGTCAAAACCGTCTGCAAGAAACTCGACCCATTAACTAAACTTTGTCCTTCACTTTGCAACTGCAACAGAAACTTAAAAAGAATCAATGAATACTTTGATTGCTTCCCTTTAACTAATCTAACCCAATATCCAATCATCCTACACTTAATTTTATCGAGTATTTTACCACGTCCAGTTTCACCATAAACCATGCAGTCAGGTGTGCACTTATTTACAAACAATATCGTTCTTAAAAATTTTCTTTGGAAAACTTCAAGTTGATCTATACACTCATAGCCCCAGACCTCAGCCCCAGACCTCAGCACCATATAATAGAATTGGCAAAACTAAGTGATCAAATAAATGACATTGTGTATCAACAGATAAATGCAACCTTTTTGCCTTTACTAACATACATGTACTATACATTGCCTTTCGAGCTTGTGTGACCTGTTTAGCAATTGCTTTTTTAAAGTTACCATTATAATTAAACGTCACTCCTAAATATACAAAGTCAAAGTCAAAGTTGATAGTCTATGTCTATGAGTATGATACTCTTGCTAGACCCTAGATCTAGTGTAATAAAAATGTATTTGAAAGTAATTTACAGAGATCCGCTTTCGATTAATAAAGTGGTAAAATGAATGTGTAGATCTATTACTATATTATCCTGCAGTTCTTTAATCAGATTTTATATTTCATTTTATCTTGCATTTCTCCTTCCAGGACCAGGAGGGTGAAAATGTTCAAGAATCCACGTCGACGACAAGAAATGGCTGCCCTTTCAAACCAACTGAAGTTCAAGCTACAACAGCCGGCGGTGGTGATAAAAAGACTGACTAGCACCAGCTCCTCGGGACAGCTGGTTTTGTTCCTAACCTCTGTGAACTTGATGTTGGATGGATCATAGAACATGCCTGAAGAATAAGGTCCTGTGGACTGCACTAACACATCACTAAGCTAACTTAGTGTTTAAAACTTGACTGTAAAGAGCTGCAATATTATTGAAAGAATTCAGGATGGATTTGTGAATTTTATTAAATTTTCTATCGATAGATATATAGTTACATGTAAGAAATGGAAAGGAATTTGAATTTATTGTCAGTTATTATACCCGAGTATGTTTTCTCATTGCTTTGATCTTTTAATTACTCATTCTGCAGGGCTTCAAACCACCTTTTTTGGAAGTTATATTGATTGAATAACGATAGTTCTTTTAAAGAAATCCAAACGGTATGAATGGAAACTGGAAAGTAACAGATTCTTAGAATTTTAGATCTGCAGACCCTTGCACAGAGTATATATGCCAATAATCATCTATGACACTCACATGGATGGAAGTCTGTATTATTATTTTTTTTAATAACACTTTATTAATAAGAGGAAAGTAGAGTCTTAAGATAATTTTGTTTCTTAATTGGTCATTATCATTGGTACATTCCAGGCAGTAACAATGAAATATTCTTTCAAAATCTTCAGTCGTTAACTCTTCATGAATCTTTTCACATGCATTATGAAATCTATCATCAAGAAAGGATTTGTATATAATCAAATCAACTCCATTCAGAATTTGTTTTTAAATTTTGTGAATAGTTTGTATGGCATAAATATTTTATTATGCTCTATTCCTTAGTACAGGTATGTCTTTAAATCACTAAATCATTTCCCCACTCATTACTTTCTCTATTATTCTCTTTGTCTGAATAATATTGGAAGTCCTTTTTTATAGGTCCATCTTTTTTTAAAATTTCTTTTGTATGTCTTCAGATGGTTTACAATCGTCTATATCTTAAAACTCATCAGTCTTATTTGTTCTCTCTGACCCTCTGTTCTGTGTGAGTCCCAACACTTCTCTTTCTCTTATTTTGTATGTCTGTGACTATTTGTATTTGTCATTACTGTTGTTATCTATCACAAATTGCTGTTGATATGCTCATACTCATATGTACCTTTTAGATTAAGAGGTGTGTTACATTATGAAATATTTTTATTTTCTTTGTTTCCTTTAAAATATTTCTCATACAGGGTGAATATCACACCTTCCTTTATCTGTTTAAAGCTGAAATAACATCCTTTTACAAATCAAAAAGAGATCCAAAATTTAAGACTATATTTTTTAAAGACCTTTTGAAGATGGAGCTTTCTTTTAATAATTTACAAGATCATCTGAATTTAAAAGTGTATGCATTTTTTAGAAATGGACATTTTGGGATAACACATTTGATAGATAGATAGATACTGGTTTAATATTGACATTGAAGTTAATACTCTCCTCATTTTGTAATAGTACAGTCATATGAACACTTACTTTTATGTTTTGCTTGAAGAAAAAAAAACACATAAAGTGAGTTGACCTAAAAGGGAATTATCATACCATGATTAGCGTCATCAATGTGCCTTGTATATTACAAGCAAATTTCAGCATATCAATATTTTGATTTCTACAAGTAGGCCTACAAGAAAATTGTAGTGTACAGTCATATCAGTGCAAAGGCAAGTGGAAGAATTTTAAAGTTTCATTTCATAATCATCTTATTTGTACGAGAAGCCTTCTTACAGTTTTGGTTGAAAACTTATACAATAATATTCCAGCAGCAGGATAAATATAAACACATTTCATTCCTATATCATTCAAAAATAAAATAAATAGTCCATCAAAATTTGGTGTTTGATTAAAGATGTGGGATAGGAAATTTGGATTGTCCTTATGTTTCATTTTATAGGTGACAACTATTTATGGAAGAAATTTTGCTTAAAGTTAGCACCTGTATCATAATTTATAATTATTGTAATCATTTGCAACAAAGAGCATGTTCCCTTAGTATTCAATGATACACGTATGTTTTACTCTCTAGAGGTTTATTGAGAAAAAGAAAAGCGATGTACCGGTACATGTAATAAGAATTCTTGATGTGATGCAACTGGGTAAATTTATCAATTTTACTGAAAATATGTATATTTATACCTATCCATATATATCTGTTGGTGTTGTCATGGAATGTGCTGTTGAATAAAAAGTATTTATCTTTATCAAAATAAGTTTATAAATTGTGAATATTTGTGTCACAAATCCAAGTATAGTTCTTGTTAAATGGTTCGCCACTTTCCCATACTACATGTATAATGTTTTGTAGAGAAATTTGTGATTACAAATTAAGTTAAACATCAGCATCATGTGGGGGATACATGATAGGAATTTTTGGAGACAGACAAAAGATTGTATCCACAAGATAACCTTAACATAATATTGCTAAATCATGCAAGTTGTTCCCATGACCTCATGGACCTCTTGGCATAGAAGCGCATCATATGACGTGGTTTTAGATCACAATCTCTTTCATGTGATAAACTGTATATGTGATTCACAGGCTGCCAGTGATGACCCGTGTGCTTGCCCAAGGCATGACAAACATATCAACACTACATGTATGTAATGCAAGTATGATTTTATAGAGGTAACATACATGAAAGGTTAATACAACTACAGGTAGATTTTTTGAAAGAAAATTGAATAAACTGGTGTATTCTTAAACCTGTTGAATATTAGGTTTCAGAGAACTTAGGATAGGGTCTTTGTGATTAATGTGATTTACCTCTCACATTATGTCTAAAAGGTCAATACTTGTACATTCTGAATTGATATGTAGGACGGATACTGACATCAAAGTTCACCACCAGGGTCACAGATACTCGCACGTGACAGTATCTCAGACAAAAGCAATTGTGACAGTTCTACCACCAGGAAAGGAGGAAGGAAGTTGACAGAACACCGATGTGAAGAAGAAAAAAAAGAATGATTAGACTTCATGTGATTTGTGTTGTCCTTACACAATTGACGGGGTTATCTGAATGTGACCCACTGGTTCACCTGATATTCTCTTGTATTCTGTTCTCATATTGCAAGTAATAAACCATCATTTTTTTTCTACTCAATATAAACATTCTCTCACAGACTCATTCTCCCCTCCCCCCCCCCCCCCCCCTCTCTCTCTCTCTCTCTCTCTCTCTTTCTGTCTCTCTCTCCCTCTCTCTCCAGCCATTCTATCTCACCCCCAGTTTCTATTGTTCTTTCTACTTGCGCTCTCTCTCTCTCTCTCTTTCTGTGTTTATGTTTCACTTGCTATATAGAAAACAGTACACCGTTAATGAGAAAAAAAAACTCTTTACAAAACAGCTGCAGAACAATTAATTGACAATGAATCATGGCACTGTTTATTCAGATATCACATAGAATGCATTTAGTAATAGTAATGAAGTCTGAGATAAACAAAGTACATGTACAGTTTAATACCCAGGGTGAGTACATACACAGGTACACATGAATTGTAATACATCTACGGTATACATAGCTTAAGGAGAGATAGAAAAGGATAAATTCTCTCCTCTAATAAACTAAGATTATGATTTGAAATCAATTGAATTCATTTACAAATTTCTGTACGTCTGCAGCCAAGCTATGTCAATTTAATTTGTGCACAGCAAATTAAAGTAATACAGATTTGGCAAAATATTTGTTTCATTATGAAAACTGCAGCTTTTTAACTTTGTCATTTGAACCTGCAGGGTAAATAAACAACTTTAACTCTGTGTACTCAATGTATGGGATTAGTGCACAGTGCAAAAATAGAAAAATATCATTGAGTAAAACATTTTTGTTTCTGTCAAAATCTTGTAAAATAGTGCATACTATGTATTTGCAGTGTCAAGAATATTTTCCTGATTGCAGGAGTTCTTTTAAAAGTTGGTGTTGTATACATGTATGTAAGTGCAATTTTCTCACAGTGAAATTAAAGTATTTTACTGGGGTTCTTTTTAAAAAGAGCTCCTTCAATTTACCACAGCACTTTTAGAGCTTTCAAGAGCTAAAGCAATCACCATTCCTGTGTAATTTTTTTTTCTTCTTCTTCGCTATAAGTACAGGCCACCGTCGGGTGTATTCTCGTACTGATTGTAGGTGCTGTGCTGCCTGTGCAGGTGTATATATACATGTAGTGTCTCAATAAAAGGTCTACAATGAGCTATGTGCAGTTAAAAGGACATCTGTAGCTTAACGCAGCTGGATCTTGAGTACCTCTCTCTTTTTGCTGGTTCTATGTCACACAGTGCTTGTAGATTTTAGGCCTTAGATTAAAACAACACAAAAACAAAATTAAAGGGAAGCATCATTACTATAATGAAGAGAAACATGAAATACACTCAAACAGCAAACAATATGGCCACAGCATTAGTAAGCATAGTTCATCATATTCAATTTGATTTGGTAAAACCTGAGAAGTCAAGTTCCTTATTAATACAAATTACATTTCTTTGAAACATAATAACACATTTAAGTGTACATATCTCCATGTACTGGTAATTAACACAATTATCATCTCTTTTTGACACAACTGACATGGATTAAATATTGCACAGCAGAGAAAGAGTTTTATTTCCTTGTATGATCCTTGAGGTTGATTAGATTTTCACTATTAGTTAAAACACAGCTACATGTATTAAAGCCTTGATTGCAATTTGCCTTCATTATGTACATCATTATAAAGCAGCAGTCTAAACCTGCTACCACATTATCCATTATAACTACCGGTAAGACATTACAGAGACTGTAGATGAGAAATAGACATTTAAAAAGAAACATTAATTTTTCTCTTCACAAACAGTATTACCTTTAATGTGAGATCTTTATTTGTACTTGAACTACACTGAATATTCTTCCTTTTTTTTTCCTTCACCATAAAACAATTATTGTACTTGTTATCAAGGTTTTGTTCTCGATTATATACCAGGAAGACAAATCGTCCTTGTTTTCACGAAGTGACAGTAGTGAGGAAAATCGTAACGCAAAGTGAATGCAATTTTTTTTCACTACCGTCACTTCGTGAAAACAGCGACGAAATGATAAGTACATGATATCATGTACATAAATGAACAAATTCAAGTGAGGCACTGTAACATATTTACACTGTACTTTAATCTAATCAATCTAGTCTCAATCATCGTCATAAATTATTTATCCATTCTAAAAATGTAAAGTTGTAAACCTCTTTTTACCTGAAATCTAAACAACATGCACAATGTATGTACATGTATGTTCATATTCCCCATCCACATAATGAAAATAACCATACATTAATGACTGTCAATACCATACCTTTAATTCCCAAATGTATGCACAAATCTTTTAAGTATGAAATCAAACTAATAAAATCAGACTTAACAGAGGTACATCTCACATGACACTCATTGTAAAAAAACAGCTTACCAGTAGGCATATTATTTTCATTTACTGTGTGCTAAATTTCTTAACAGGAAGACCTTTGTACTTACATGTATAATGTAATGTATAAGCTCCACCCTACTCCATACCATTCAAACACCATGTAGAGTCATATATCATCTTTAAATAGATGAGTCAAAAATATTAAGTGCTGAGAATCAAGTACCTAATGCAAAAAGGCACTGAAAAAATGAAACTGATCCTAAGGATTAGAAACCAGATAATGCTGGTGACATTTCCTGATTTAAAAAAATAATAAAAATGAAGGAAAAAAGAGAGAGAAAAAAAATCCTGATACAAATACATTGTAATGTGCATAATGTTGTGCAAGCTAGAGTATGAGAAAGAGACAAATTGTGTACTCTGTGTCTGTGCCTACTCCTAAGTTGTCAATGAGTAATGGTACAGTGAACATGATTGTGAACATTGATATCATATGGGGCCTGTCACCACGAAATGAGTCCAGTTGGTCAAAATTTTTATTCCTGTTTTTAAGTATTATATGAATCTACATTAAGTAAGCTTTAAATTAAAGGGGAAGTCCACCCTGAAATTAAGTTAGTTTTAATAGGAGTAGAAAAATGAGAGAAACAAGTCAGTGAAAGTTTGAGCAAATTCCGATTAAAAATAAGGAAGTTAGGAATTTTGAAGTTGTGATCAATCAAACACAAATTGGCAACTCTATGACGTATCATGCGAGCTCAACTTCCATTTGCTCAGTACTAAAAAAATCTAAAATTTTCATTTTCCCTCAAGAAAAATTTCAACCATACATGCACCCTAAATATAATAATTGCAAATATGTTTCTATACTCCTCCTGCAAGGAACAAATATATATTCCTAAATAACGAAGAAAACATGATTTTATGGAATATTATGCACAAAGCAAATGAAGGAGAGCTCGTATAATAAGTCACAGAGTTGCCAATTTGTATTTGATTGATCACAACTTCAATAATTCATAACTTTCTTATTTTCATTCAGAATTTGCTCAAACTTTCACTCACCTGATTTTCTTATTATTCTGCCTCTATTGAAACAAACTTATTTTGGGGGTGGACTTTCTCTTTAAGGGGTCACACATTAAAATTGATAAATTATATCCAGAAATATGAACAAAAACCTAATTGGACTTTATAAACAATGGGATTACCCAGTTTTGAGATAATTAGGTGTAAAGTTAATGATGCGTAACATAGCCTATATTATTTGCCAAAAAATGTTAGAAGGAGATATTTTCGTGACCTAAGCTCTGGAGACATAAACTACAAGACATTAATAAGTCGATTTTTGGAAAAATCTTAAATGTGGTAGGTGGGTCAATTTTCAGTACATACATACACACTATACATCGCTATTACTACGATTGAGCCTAATGCGACACTGGACTCATTTCATGGTGACTGGCCCCATATAGTATTTTGAAAGAGTAGTAAAGGAAGACATATTTCAAAATGGTAAGATTTGTACATAAATTGCAACCTAAATTGAGTTTGAGTTGTCAGTAAACACAAAATTTAGACAAAGGAAAATATAAAATAACAATATCAAAAATGTTTGCAAATAGATTGAGGAAGACACATTGTAAAATAGTATATTAGTTTTTTTTTTAACACAAAGTCTAAATGAAGTGAAATAATGATAGGGAAACTGAGAGTATTTCACAAATACATGTAGTTAAAGGTTAAAGATAAACTTTAGTACTGGTAATGCAATTGCATTGTGAAAGAAAAGGTGTGGAAAGGATCAGAAACAGTTGATCATGTAGCATGTAAGTATTGGTGTGCACTGCAAGGTTCTGGAGTCATCAAAATCATAATAAATTTGACCGAGTCTTGGTAAAGTAACAAGCACTCACATAGAAAGCTATATATGGGACAACACACATGGTGTCAGGGCTAGTACTACCTTGATTTCCTTGTCTTTCTATGCTCATTACTTAGCCAGTATAAATTTTCTTCCAAAATTGTTTGGCACATGTCATTTATTTGTAATCTTGAACATTCAGTGTAAGTTTCGTTTGATTCTGTGAGAATTATTTTTTTTTTTTTTACCAGTACTGGAGTTTATCTTTAAAGTTTATTGTTGCCTATACCGGGAAATGTCAGCAAAGCTTAAATAAAGTGAAATAAAAAAATATATATATATGTTCCAAACTTCACGTACAAGCACCTGAAATATAATATAGTGGAGATAACCTCTTGTTATATGAAACATCTTAACATTTCTTCACATTGCTTTATACTAAATTTGCCAATGAAATATGCACATAGTCTATAATATCAAGACAAACTTGAAACTACACTGTACATACCCGGTAGTACCGGTACATGTACATAGTAACAACTAACAACCTTATCGTCAAAGCAAAAACAGTGAAGAACCTAAATGTACATGTACATAAAGGTTTATCACAAAGGAGAGGTCCAAATGTATAGGGTTGGATTACAATCATTACATCTCTCCTACTTTCCTCCATATTACATGACATGTTAATGTCAAACTCACATGAACTAAATGATTCTGGAGCATGACATTGATATGAACTTCTAATTTGAACACTAATATCTTTTCCATGTTAGAGTATCATTCAGATTATCCAGATTATTCTACATTTAACTACTTTTAATATAATTCATTGTCACTCATTCTGAAATATGGTGAACATGAATTGGTTATATATTTTGAAAGTCCAACATTTACTGGCTTGGAATAGAATAAACACACACACACACTGACACATGTACAAGTACATGTATTATATGGGAAAGGTGAAGAAGAACAGATAACTGTAAATACATGATATATGCAGCTAGGACTTTATTTAGGTGGCTCAGCGAAATTCACTGGTACAAAAAGACGAGTCTGGAACGCAAAAGGAATAATGGTTGGTGACATCTGTGAATAAAAAATTGTTCATTTGTCATGTTCTCAATGACTTTTTTGGTAATTAATGTCAATCTTAATCAAGGTAGTTTAGATAATTACTAGCTCTGTATGGTGATGATATAGTTTTACCTCAATGGTATGAAAATATAATTTCAACAATTATGCATTTTGCGTTCCGGACATGTCTATTTGATTTTGTACCACTTCATTTTGGTAAACTATTTTCATGCAGCAAAGCAACTGCTTCTTAATTAGGCCTATAATATGAGACCTACATGTAATACCATATCATCTATTTGAAAAGTAAATGTACACCCTCTAGGGTCAATCACCAAAAACAATGAACACCTCAAAGCAATTTAACAAAAATTCTTCTTACAACTATACTGTGCATAACATGTTAAAGTAACAAACTGAAGTGTATAGAATTTAGACATATTTCCAATACAATATTTATATAATAGATTGATTTTTTTATAACAACTTCATCTGTCCCTTATATTGATTTGTGAAACAATTGCCTTTTTTTTCTTTTAACTTTTGGCACACAGATATATGTATAAGGAAATGGATCAATGGACTTGTCCTGAAAGTCACCTACAATGTACGTACATACATGTACATGTAGGTCTACCTACTCTAATGGCCAAAATGTAATTTGCATTCCTGACTCTTTCTAGAGGGGTCTGCAGCAGACGTAACAAAGCTATGCAATAATTTCTTGAAAACATTTGAAGATACAGAAGAAACTATCAAACATGCAAACATGATCATAAAGGCTGAGCGCCTCTGTAACAGCTTGGTCTTATAATGGTTGGGTCCAGGAACAGGAGTCCGGCCATGGTCGAGAATCCTAGGAGTAAGAAGAGCACCTTCAGAAGTCTGTCCTTGCTGGAGTTCATCTCATGAGGGAGCACTTCAAAGAAGGTGATGTAAAGGAAGGTTCCCGTGGCGATGCCCTGTAGAACACCATCCATGACGCTGTGCGTGAAGTCGGAGAAGCTCTCAATGAGGATGATTCCCAGCGTTATTCCAATGGGTGCCATCAAGGCGAAGCACAAGCAGGACAGGACAACGGAGCACTTAGAAAGATGGCTCTGGACCAGATTCATACCAAGACTGAAGGCCAGGATGTTCTTGTGGATGATGACGGCGGTGAATATCGCCAGGAGCTGGTCTTTATCCGTCTGCAGTCCCATGGCCAAGCCCTCAAAGATGGAATGCAGCGAGAGAGCAAGAAGGAGAAGCAACGAACGAAGGGATGAGTGGGAATGGAGATCATGGTTATCTGGTTCCTCCGCATTCGGATCCCTGTAACTACGATTTGATATCGACCTCTGCAGGTTTGCGCGCGTGCGGGAATTAAGACTGGAGTTGCATTCCTGTTGTAGACTACCATACTCGCCTTGGGCATTGCTCATTCCTTCGTATCGTACGTCATTCTCATCATTATCAAATAAGAGGGGTGCACTTGCTTCACAATCTCCAGCATTGTTTGTCCCCGTCACTCTAACCAATTCCTTTGAAGAATTATCACTTTTTTCTTTGCAATCCAATGCAGTTTGCTCAACAATCAACACAATGAAAAATCCACATGCTACAACAAATTCTGCTACTGGGTATGCAGTGTAAATCTCCAATCGGTCTAAGACGGTGCTCAACTTATCTCTCACATCTGGCAAGAGGTCCAGTAGACATGTACATAAAAATACACCACCCCCAAAACAACTCAGGAAGCTCATCCAACGTTTTGCTCGGCTTTGAATATTTGAACTATTTGGATTGCCATTGCCAGTGACAAATTTAGCTATTCTTATAGGAATTAGTCCAAAGAAGAAACTAGTCAATGATAGAACGAATAGCAGGGTTATCTTTAAACCTAAAATCTCCATTGTTTATTACAATGTCCACGACTATTGCAAAACTGTCATCAGATGCACCCGAGTTAAATTTCACAGCTCATACAGTCACAACTCACAAGTCACAGCTTATCTCAGATTCAGAGTCAAACTCATTAGTCTAACTCAGATCAGTTACTCAATTCAATGACAATATCCACGACCCGACTGTGTGGCAGCTCATTCAGAAATCACAGGTCTCCTCTTAGAAATGATCAGTCACTAATAACTGATCGAGAGGGAAGTTAATAGCATGTAACGAGTTACAGGTCTATATTCGAACTTTTCATTTCTTGACGAAGCTCAGCTTCACACGGACGTCTGCCGGTCTGTAAGGATAGCCTGGACAGTGGTAGCTCTCTGGCACAGTGAATCGAGTGTCGATCAAGAATCAAATTACATCATCCGGGCCGTGCACAGTTGATTATGTAAATTATTGTCTCAGCATTATTATGATGAACAAGTGTCTTGAGCTCATCTACGAAAATATAAAATCTAAATTGAGATGATCTAACAGTACTGAAACTGAGCCGGGTAATTTCCTTATGAAATACGAGACAGGTGCACGGCTCGGTTACTGTTTGTGGACGAGTTAAAGAAATTAGAGGGGTGACAAATAGTATTGCAATGAAGTGATATGTAAATAAATTAGCTATTTGTCATTAGAATCTAGACTACCAAATTACTCTGTTTGCATTAAAATGCCTAAAAAGCAATCTAAGTGGCTGAAAGTATAGATCAATTATGTTTTTTTTTGTACAGCCCTTTTACATTTACCTACCATAAAATGAGATTGCCCAGTACCTAGAGAAGCATGTGATTCTTGGTCACCTGACATACCGGTACGATTTTTGTTTACGTAGAGGTTGGGGGTGGGGTTTCGGTTTCTGCATAATCTGCAGTGTCTGTATCTGTATGCATGCAAGCTATAGTGCGACGTAGTGACAAGTTACAATGGGTCCCAGGGGCACATCCCCCCCCCCCTAATTGAATGACAAAGAAAAAAAGGAGAACAAAAAAGTTAAACGATAAAAGAGAGGAAAGGACAGGGAGAAATGGGGTCAAAAAGAAGCTTGGACGTACCTTCTCTATCTAGGCCAATTGAGACTAACCCCTGCCCCCCATGATGTCAAGGTCCCTTCAACTGCTTTACCCACGTTATGCCACTAGCCGAGCCGTCGACACGCCTCCACTCAATTTATTAATTGTTCATCGGGGCTGCAGCGCTCAAAAGAAAGAAGGAGAAATAAACAATTTATTGAATGAATAAGTTAAGAAAGAAAGAAAGAAAGAGAAACCTTTCAATAAAGGGAAAAAGAGAGAAGATAAGACAAAAAGAAAGAAAGAAAGATCATCCTATTTTAATTGTAGTGAGCAGCTTTCTTTTTGTTGGGAGGGAGGGGCACCATTGTGAGATATATCCCCCCCCCCCCCCCACTCAGTGTTATTTAGGGTACGCATAATTATGCTTGTTCCCTCTTTTTGAAGAGGACTGCCAACATTTCCGAACCCCCCTTTCGCGGGGTTTTCCTGCCTCAGGAGACCCCCCTAAATCCGGAAAAATGCTCAATGTACCCCCCTAAATTCGGAATAATTTCTCAGGAGTTTAAAGAGATGAGAGAAAAGGAAAAAAATCACCCCCTTTTTAAAGAAATCTCCGGGTGAAAAGTCAAATACACCCCTTTTTTTTTTACAATTCTCGGGCCGGACTTTGTCGCACGAAAAGTACCCCTTTACCGGACATTTTGGTAACACGCATGCGGTCATTCCGACCCCGGAGTGGGGGGGGGGGGAATATATTCTCATTCTAATATGTATCCACAATATTTGAGGCCTATCTAAGAAAAGAAATATCGGACTGTTTTTTTTTTTCTTGGGGAACATGACCCTCAGTTTCGCTCTTGTACCCAACGTGAGCATCCCAAGCAACTGAACGAGACCAGGGAACGAGACACTTTACTCATTCAATTAAGGACATGTGGTTTCGAAACCGGGCCCTTCTCATCACAGTACCAAGACCTCTACCTGACTACCTCATAATCTGAGCCATCGGGGATGTGACTTGTGGGTGACCAGCGCCACAATTATGGAATATAAAACAAACCGAAATCGGTGTTGCAAAGCGACAATTTCCCTATATGGTAAATGAAAGGCAGATGGCGGTATTCACTTTTGTCAGAGAGTCACTCTGGTCGTGTCAAGGATTTCGTTTGGAAGAGAAAGCGTGTGTATGGGACGAAGTTATCCCTAGAAGACTAGAAAGCATCCCCCCCCCCTTTTTTTTTAAAGAAAAGCAAAGCATCTACAACCAGGTGGAAAATAATGAACTTGGAAGAAGAATTGGGGAAAACAGACGCTACAATTAGGAAAATAAATTATGAGTTTGGGGATTTTCATGTTATTGATTTTTTTAAATTTACATTGTATGACTGTGCAATGAAATGAATCTATCAACTTGCCTTTTGTTTAAAGACCAAAGGTTTATCAAAGTCGAATTCGATTTTTTTTTTTTTTTTCCTAAAGTAAAAAAAAAAGGAGGAACATTTATCAAAGGTAATATGTCCCATTTGCAGGCCAAAAAAATGAAAAGGTTAAATTCCAATGGCATTTGAAAGATAATACTAATTTAGAACTTCCCTAAAAAAAGGTGGGGCTTGAAAATGTCTTCAAGTGGGAAAATAACGACTATTAGTTGTCAAATTGACTTAGGAGCTATAGATTCAATCAGTTTAATTTTGGCCATCACAAGAAGTGGGTTATTGTTTTAGACAAAAAATAATGCTCATGTACCCTTTATTTATACAGCTCATTTTATGTATGTTATTACCAAAGAAGAAAAAAAGCCAGTCAGTCACTCAATAGTGTCTGACAGTGAAGTCTAGCAAGTAAACGGGTTTCCTTGCACAATTTTATTATTAGGACACTGCTAACGTTTAAATTTCACAGATAGGACATGCATGACATATATTCATAGTTCATGCAAAGTTCTACAGAATTTGAGGTTGGCTGCAAAAGGGACATAGCACCTTCAAAGCATCACAATATTTAAGTTTGCCTATATTATAAGGCCTTAAAACAAAGATGTCGTATTGCCTTTCAGGTGCCAACGCCTGGGTCGGTCGGTCGATTTTCTTTTTCTTTCTTTTTTCCTTTTTTCCCTCTTTGGGCTGATATTTTTCAGTTTTGAATGCTTAAATACATACGGTAAAACAAAAACTTTTATAAAAAGCCCACTGTCAATTTTTAAAATGTTGGGGTCGGTCGCAAAGGGCAATACAACAACTTTTTTTGTAAAGCCTTAGCGCAAGTGATATCTTATTTAATCTTATAAACATGACTACCAAAAATGTATGTAACATAATTCATGTATACATACACCCCCCCCCCCCCCCCCCGCCTTCTTCCCTTCAATTCAGTAACGCAACTTATACTGCATGCAGCGCGCACAGGCGTTGACGTCATAATTCAACTAGCGCACATCCAAACTCATGCTGGAGCGGTTTGAAAGCGTGCGTTTGATTGGCCAATAATGTGTGAACTGAGCACTGGAGAAAGCGTAGAGATAAAACGTTGCTCATCATTGGACAATACGTCGCTATGTGACGTAATTTCACAGGTATTTACGGATTCCCCCTAGTGTTTTGTAAATGCCCGCGAGAGATAGAGAACGAATCCCAGTATTGTATTAGACCAAGGCACGGGAGAATAGTGCACCAAGGGATGCCCGTGAAATGTTAATTAAACGTTTTTAAGAACATCATCAAACCCGGGCCCCATCATGAAGGAATAACAAGGCCTTCGAAAAGTATGGGAAAGTGGTCGGCAGGACATCAGCATTATTAATTCTAGGAAACTCATTATGGATAACAAGGAAACTAACGGAGAGCTAGAGCAGTCTGATGAGGCCGATCCGTCCGGTCAAAACCTTGATGATGGGGAAACCGATAGCAAACAAGAAGAGAATCTCATCAACGTTAGCCCGCCAAAAACACCACCAGGTCCTCCTCCTCCTCTAAAGAATGGAGGAAGGGGTCAGAAACCGCCCAAAATCCCAATATGTCATCAAAATGGAAAGCTCCCCAAGGAAGTTGAATGGACAGAAGATAGAGGCGAGGACAGAAAGGATAGTCTCACTCTTCAATCGAAGCTAGATCACGGGGCATACACGGATGAAAAACAGGATCTTCTAACATATCTTGACCGTCACGGCATCAACAGTCCAGTCAAGCTAACACCAGATGAAACTGGTGGGACCAGTGCCCTGGATATTCTTGGGATTATTGAAGAAAGGGACACAGGTGCACTGGGCTCTGATCCTTCATCTACTACTATGCAGGCCATGGCTAAACCCGTCGGCTTTCTGCAGAGGCAGCTATGGACTGTTCTCCAACCTTCAGACAATAGACTCTCAATGAAACTTTTCGGAAGCAAGAAAGGGTTACAAAAGGAAAAATATCGGTTGAGGAAGGCGGGGGTTCTTATCATTCATCCATGTAGTCATTTCAGGTAAGTTTGATTTAATCTGTCTCCCTAATTAGTTATAGCAATTTTCATTTCAAATTTATTACAGACCCTAGTATCTTGAATAATAAGTTATTAGCAATTAAAAATTGCAAACGGAGTTTCATCATCATTTGAATACAAATTGAAATTTGTTGAGAAACGTCAAAATGATCATGGCATGTTGTATTATTTCACGTGAATTATTACAGAAGATAGAAGGAAGACTTAATGTAAGTACTATTTCTGAACTTTCCATGCAAGTTTCTGTTATAACGCGTTGATTTTCACGTTACTGTTACTGTTAGATCTACTTTAAGTTTATAGGCCTACTTATAGTGGAACTCATTAATACTAAAGATATTATAATATTTCCTTTAACAAAAAACTTATCAGGTCTTTTTTACTGCAACTTCCGCCAGATCTACATGTATATTATGAAGATAGGCCTATTACGAGCTACAAAACTGCACGTCAAAAAAAAAACATATAATGGAATATAGTGTAAAAATTAATGTATTAAAGTAAAATGTTTCTTTTGTGATTTTCATGATAAGCATGTAAGTTTGGTATCAAAATGTATACATGAATACCTTAGTTATATCCATCTTATTCATTTCCAAATACGTAAACCTTTCTTTGGTAAAAACAGAAGACTGATCATTATGTGCGTGGGGAGGGTGGGTGCACTTATACAGTCGGTCGCACCACTGTCCACTGGAGAAGGCTTTAAATTATTTTGTGAGAAAGAAATTACTTGAAAAACTCCTTCGTCCTTCAAGAATAGCTCACCGGATTACACACTGTGATGGCAATGGAGATTTATTCATGGACCCTTCAAAATGCATGAGAAAACAAATCCACTGAAACATAAGCATGTGGGTCGGTAAGCGAACCGGCATCTACGATCTACGGTAGATTGTGAAGTGCTGGAGATAGTTTATATAGCGGGGATTAAAGTTAGGCTATCTAAGATCCAGGGTTTATAACTCGCAGCCACAGTGTGATTTGATGCTATGTACAGGTCATGGAACTTTGCACACAAGGACAATAATGAAAGTGTACAGTCATGTATAGCTAGTTACTTCGATTCATGCATCCGTGATTCGGGGTGGGTGCGAGTGGTTCTAATTATTATAGAAGGGCGTGTAAGACGCTCTCCTCTTTTTCAACAGGCAGATGGCTTTAAACAGGTGTTCAGTTTTGGTGCTTTCTGTGATCGGAATCATGCCTTTAAAGCCCCTCTTAAGTGTTAGAAGCCCATAATTTGCCGAAAATGTCACTTAAAATTATTGTATCATAATTTGAAAGACAAATATTGATAAAAGAATGCATAATGGGTTTTCTGTTATACGCAGAAAACCTAAATTTTGAATTCTTTCATCAATATTCGACTTTAAACACTTTTTTTTTTTAAATCCTTGCTGAAATGTGTTTCAAATGTCATCCTCTTTCACATTATGATACAATTTAAGTGTAATTTTGCCATCAAGACTTAGTTTGTGGGGCTCCCAACACTTTATAGAGGAACTTTAATATGATCAAAAAGTCTGCATGGGCAATTTAGCTGCCAAAGCATCGTTATTATCACATTTAGTATATAATAATCAACATGATTACGTATAATTATAGGCAATGCCGTATTGAAATAATCGCATTACGTCATTATTTTTCATTCAATATAATAGTTTCACCAACCTGCCTGTGCACAAAAAAACGTGATCAAAGCTACAGCATGACACTTGACATGTATTATACAATTACCCTGTCCTCTCGTTTTCCTCTTTCATAATGCTAGTAATATTTTCGTGATTTCGTCGTCATATCACTTTCAATTCAGCTTCGGAATAGAAGCATAGTGCATGCTCAGAACAAAATATGCAGCAGCGGGTTGTTCATACAGGTATTGCGACTATACTACGTACTAAATTTAGCCTCCATTATAACGTACTGAATTATTAATGGAGGCCATTAATGTGTACAGAACTAAACGGCTGATTTGAACTGAGTTTTTTTTTTAAATACATAGTTGGGTTTATGTGACAGGTGCGTAGCTTTAAATAGAGCGATAGAAGAATTATGCATGCATGTGTAGGCGCCAATTTTATAGGGGGAATATTGGCATGCAAGCGACCTCGCTCACTCGCTCTTCATGGGTGCTAGACAGTCAACGTGCAATCACCGGCGGACAAATTTGTGGAACTCCTCGACACTTTCCAGTTCTTATTTGTTTAGTTCTCAATTCATTGCCGCCGGAATTCGGCCGGAGGAATGGGTGCCTGCGTACGTGGCAAATTTCTCTGAATGAAAGTTCAGAACACCTGAGAATCACCGCGATGCATGCCCTTAGTCCCACCCGTGATATGAAGATGGTGGATGTGAAAGTAAGAAGAGAGCAAAGTGGTTAGCGGGAGGGAAGTAGACATAGGGATTGAGAGAGTGCATTGAGCAGACAAAGACTATAGGAAAGATAAATAGTCGATAAGAGAAGGAGTTCGTGAGGTCAACATCTTCGAACCAATAAAGTTAAAGTGGTAGGAGTGAAAGTAGGTCATGATCATCTTTGGCCCAATAAAAAACGGTTAATTTGTTGAGAATGTCAAAATAGAAAATTTGTCCAGGAAATCTTTTACATTCTTACTCGGTAACATTGTCTCTAATTCTGAAACAAAATCCTGGATTTAACTCATGCTGCAATCATAATTATAAACCTTTAGGTCAGTCAGGAACCTCATGACTTTTACAAGCAGATTGCCTGTCTGACTATCAAGATATTTATGATTGAAAATCAAAATTCATTTTTTCTTTTTTTAACGGTTTTTATAACACTACAGTCTATCGGGGAAATGAGTATTTTAGGAAGTTTTTTAGGGCTTCAATTTTATACCATTATCACAGACACTGATAACACGTAGGGCCATGCATCTCAGATTTAATTGATCGTTAAACGATGTCTTAAAGCCATAAGTCTCGACAATCCCTGACAATTGAAAAAAATATGTCTCCAATCTTGGCAGAGGGCACATAATATTTTTGTTCTGGGGGACATTTTGTATCAGTTTTCAAGATGTAGACAGATTTGGCCAGGGGACCGTGCCCCACCCCTTAATCTGCCACCTAGGAAGAAACTTTTCAAAGAACAGCCTTTTAAAGGGAAAGTCCACCCCAAAAATAAGTTTGTTTCGATAGAGGCAGAATAATAAGAAAATCAGGTGAGTGAAAGTTTGAGCAAATTCTGAATGAAAATAAGAAAGTTATGAATTATTGAAGTTGTGATCAATCAAATACAAATTGGCAACTCTGTGACTTATTATACGAGCTCTCCTTCATTTGCTTTGTGCATAATATTCCATAAAATCATGTTTTCTTCGTTATTGATGACGGAATATATATTTGTTCCTTGCAGGGGGAGTATAGAAACATATTTGCAATTATTATATTTAGGGTGCATGTATGGTTGAAATTTTTCTTGAGGGAAAATGAAAATTTTAGATTTTTTTAGTACTGAGCAAATGGAAGTTGAGCTCGCATGATACGTCATAGAGTTGCCAATTTGTGTTTGATTGATCACAACTTCGAAAATCCTAACTTCCTTATTTTTAATCGGAATTTGCTCAAACTTTCACTGACTTGTTTCTCTCATTTTTCTACTCCTATCAAAACTAACTTAATTTCAGGGTGGACTTCCCCTTTAAAAATACAGGAAATGCTAACATGATGAAGGGGGAAATGGAATTGGCTATATACCCAATGGAAATACAGAGCTAACTAAATAAACTTAAATAGATCATTGTATCTGCAATATTCTTGTTGAAATTATGTAGAGGTGTGACTATGAGTACAATTATGAGCCAATAGCCTATAAAATCCTGACAACTCCGAGTGATGAACTCTTGACTTTCTATAATTTCCATTTTGTTCACCATTCACATGGAAACAATACTTTCAGTATATAATCCGAATGCAAGTTACGTATAAATCATTCGTTGACAGATGTAATATGGATTACATGTTTTCATACTTATCAACACGTGATAATGTTTAGCAGGGAATGTCGCAATGAGAAATGCAGTCATTTTATCCGATGTTAATTTCATTGTAATTGAGTTTCTCATACGCTTTTGATATCGATGCCATGGCAAATGATTTACATTTTAAATTATGCGAACACGTCATAGGAATTTAAAGACACTACATGTTGGGAAATCAATCCAAAATGTTTTTGGAAGGAAAGTCATTGGACGGCCATGAGAAATAATTCCTTTTGAATAACATTACTGCTTTAGTTATGATTTTTGTAAATTTTAATAGAGCATTAATTCTGAAAGGTCTGAAACATATTGTGGGTTTGTTTTTTCTTCAAACTATCAGCTCCACTAAGCAGTCATTACCTACATCATTGACTTGAGGTAAAAATTAAACTAATTATTGATTCTATAACAGAATATTAATTGGTTTGAGCCTATTAACATTTTTTTTTTTTTTTTTAATTTAATAAGATAAAAGGCACAAAATATCACTGTGAATATTGTATATAATTAAAGAAAATTTGACAAAATTTTCATTAATTTTTATTTATATAGTCTTCCTCTAAATACCCTTTGAAATGATTCCAAAAAAAATACTTAGTAAAAGCCAGATTGGAATCAATATGCAAGAATAGATTACTGCTACATCATACCTGTGACCTCTCTGCTATATCGAAAGGGGTCAGGAAGATCGAACTTTAGCAAAAAGACAAGCACCTATGATTAAATCCAGACATTATAATTGATCATTCCCTATGTTTCATGATGGACTGAGGTGAAATGCTGTGATTTCCATTATACGCTGTATCATTATTGAATAATGAAGGAGAAATAGGCATTTCTGGTGCAATGTACGAATCAAATTAATTTAATTACCCCGCCATGGGTAATTTGAGCTGCAGGAGATATACATGTACAAGCGATATCTCTGCTGCGACACGATTTTTCTTGCAGTGCAGACAAAAGAAAGAAAAAACA